CTACAGGTTTTACAAAATAGAGCTGCCAAAATTATTACAAAGATGTCCAGTTATGATTCAAGCTCTGCAGCTCTCAAAAAATTAAACTGGAACAGGCTTGATACAAACCAGTTTCACAACGAAGCTATTACAATGTACAAGATTATGAATAAATATAAGCTCACAATATCTTATTAACAGATTCAGTTCTAAAGAAAACCCACATAATACCAGATCTAAAGACAAACTTTATCTATGCAAACCTCGAACTGAATACAAAAAGAAAAGTTTCACCTATCATGGATCAAAATTATGGAATTCATTATCAGAAGAAGCAAAAATTGCTAAAGATTTAAAGAGTTTTAAAAATATTGTGTCAAACCTGACCAGTTTTTGAAACCGCAGATTTTATTATTTCAAATTTGAAATTGTTTAAAAGTAGTATTAGTTCCTAATTTTACAGTTGGTAGGTTTTTACTTTTCCATGTTTGTTTTCCTTTTCTTTTATCATATCGGTAGTTTAAGAACACGGCCTCTTGGAAGACCAACCTTTGTAAAAAGATTGAAATGAGTATCCTTGGATAAATAAAGTTATTATTATTATTATATATCATGTCCTACACGGAATAATAAAATATTAGACTTATGTTATGGTACAGTCCCAAACACATTCAAGTCTGTAGTGCTACCACCGCTTGGTGCCTCAGATCACAAAGCAAAGGAAAAGGTAGTTAAGAAAGTCAAACTGTGGACTTCAGATAGCATTGAACAGTTAAGAGGATGCTTAGAATGTACAATTTGGGAAACGTTTTATAACTCTTCGTCAGATTTAAATGAAATGGTAGATGTAATAACCTCATATATAAATTAATGTGTTGAGTCGTTAATACCTACAAAATCAGATGTTATATTTGTTAATAATAAGCCATGGGTTACAAAAGATTTCAAAAAATATATTAAACAGAAAGAAACGTATTTTTAAACATGGTAATAAGCATGAATTGAAACAAATAAAGAAAGAGGTTAAAACTGCAGTTCGTAAGGCAAAAGATATGTACAGAAAAAAAATAGAAAGTAAATTTAGTAACGGATGTATTCGTAGTGCTTAGCAGGGAATTAAAGGAATGGCATCAATTAATTTAAATAATGGGCAAAAAAATAAACTTAGCATAGAAGGTGTTGATGACCACTCTCTGCCAAATAACCTTAACAATTTCTTTGCTAGGTTTGAGAAACACGATCTATCTAACGATAAAGTTGGAGACTCATTGCCTGGCTCTGATGATAGGGATTGTATAATTAAGGAGGATCATGTTAGGCGACTACTTAAAAATATTAATGTAAATAAAAGTCCTGGTCCTGATGGTATTGTGGGCAGAACGCTAAAGTTTTGTGCAGACCAGCTTAGTGGTGTTTTTCAACATCTCTTCCAGAAAACTATTAATCATAGCAGAGTTCCGAAGCTTTGGAAAGACTTTATAATAAAACTTATTCCCAAACAGGCAGTAATTAGACAACTCAATGATTTGCGCCCAGTTGCGCTTACATCTGTTGTCATGAAGATCTTTGGAAAATTGTGAAAACATTCAATACGTCTGTAGTGGAACCCAAACTCAATCCTCTTCAGTTTGCTTACAGGTCTGGAAGAAGTGTTGAAGATGCAAAACTTTTTTTGTTAAACAAGCTGTATACACACTTAGATTTTCCAAAGTCCCATGCTAGGTGGTTGTTTGCAGACTTTTCTTCTGCTTTTAATACTATGCATTCTTTTATTTTAGCTAATAAGTTAATTTCTAATTTTGGATTTCAACGTAATTTTGTTTTATGCATTATTAGTTTTCTGACCAATAGATGTCAAAGAGTTCTTGTTAATCAAACATACTCTGATTTAATTACAAAAAGCATAGGATCTCCCCAGGGTTGTGTCTTTTCTCCTCTCCTTTACATCATATATACAGATGACTGCCACAGCAGACTTCATGACAGTTATTTGGTCAAGTTCGCTGACGACACAGTGTTATTGACTCTTCTTCGAGATTCTAAAGAAGATCACGGTGCTGCACTGGATGATTTCATCCAGTTTTGCAGAGAATCTCATCTAGAGCTCAATGCTAGCAAAACCAAGGAGATGATTGTTGACTTTAGGGAGGAGAAAGTACATAATTCTCGGAAATCCTTTATTAATAATAAGCCTGTTGATTTTGTTCATTCTTTTAAATATTTGGGGACAATTTTTGAGGATAATCTTTCTTGGGAACTTAATACAGATACCATTGTCAATAAAGGACAGCAGAGACTTTATCTGTTAAGGAAACTAAACTCAATTAATGTTGATAAACATATTCTTAAGATTTTTTATAACTCATTCATTGAAAATGTCCTCTCTTTCTCCTTTATCTGTTGGTTTTACAATCTTAAGGTTAGAGAGAAAAATTCACTACATGAAATAGTTAACTTAAGTTCTAAAATAATTGGTTGCCAGCTGCGTAGTTTATCTTCCCTTTGTAATAGACAGATTTTAGATAAAAGTAAAACTATCTTAAAAATCAATTATCATGCAATGTTTAATGATTTTGAGCTTCTACCACATGGGCGTCGTTTCCGGTGTCCGGTGAGTAAAACAAATAGATGTAGAAATTTGTTCCTACATGTTTCCGTTCGACTCCTTAATAATGAGTAGGGCTATTTTTTATAATTTTTTAAATCAACGATTCTTTTTTTTCATTGTATATTTTTCTGTGTTTTATATTTTTAATGTCATGTTTTTATGATGCTTGTAATGTTGACCTGATTTGAATTGCCCCATGTGGGATTATTAAAGATTTATTGAATTGAATTAAGATACATAACATTCAACCTTGACCTGAAGTTTATGCTCACCTAAGATGATTTAGAAATGACGATTAGTTAAGATGATATGGGCTCATCAATGTTTTGAGGAAAGAAAGATGGGGGGGGGGTCAGAAAAAACATTTTTTTACCTTGATGACGTCATCAAAAAGTAAAAAGAAGTCATGTATTTAAAAGAAAATTGTCTCAGCTATAACATACTCAAAGTTGGAAGACCATCGACCAAGGATAAGCAAGATACGCTCAAATGCGCATTTTCAAAAATGACGTCATCAATAAAATTCAGTTTGTTGAATAGGCCTATGATAATCCATCAGCATTATTTATAAAAAGGAGTGCACTAAGTTAGTAGTTGTACCAAACTCAGTAATTTTGGCCAATTCTCGATATTTAGTCTAAAAATTGTTTTGGTCCTTCTTCAATCAAGATGTACCTTCTACTTTTGACTTGGATTTTGATCTATAAATAATGCTGTTTTAGGCCATGTTTTTGGATCTGATTTTCCTAGGCTACAACAAGCTAGAATTATCCAGTACTCACCTGGAATGCTTTTACGCATTCGATCGCATGCCAAGCACCTGGACATTGCTCGTGAAGTGAAAACAATATGCTATGAGCTGAAAATACATCGACGAACACGACGTGGACGTAGTGCGGGAAAGGGTGTTCATAAAGGGCAAGGAAAAAGACAAGTTGATGGGCCTAGGGCTAAGCATGGTCTTAATGCAAGTATTGGTTTAAAATGTTTTTTGTTTAATGCACATTCTGTATGTAATAAAACAACAAGAAACTATTCTTGAAAATAACTCTGATCTATGTGTTTTGACTGATACATGGTTAAATCCAGGAGACACCGCCATAACATCTGAATTAACTCCTTCCGATTATAACTGTTTCCTGTTTGCTCGAGAAGGACGTGGAGGTGGTGTTGCAATTATCACTAAAAATAGTCTTAACTTCAACGCTGTTGAGTGTCCCGTTCCTTCCTCATCAAACATCGAGTATGTGAGGTTTACTCAAAATTAAATCGTCTTCGTTTCGTTGGTGTGTATCGTCCTCCTGGATCATCAAAAGCATGTTTTATCGAAGAGTTTGAGAATCTTGTTGATTACCTGATGACGAGGCCTGATAATTATGTTATTTTGGGAGATTGTAATCTACATATGGATGATACTGATGCCTTTTATGTTAGAAAATTGAATGACATTCTTTCTGATCGTGAACTGATTCAACATGTTTCTGGATCCACTCATGATTTTTGGTCATACATTGGACCTTATTATCACCCGAAATCAAATTATTTCGAAGGTTGAAATTGTCGATAATATCATGCTTTTGTGTTTTTCAATGTTGATGTTCCCATTGAGAAAACATCAACAAAAGCAAAATTTATCAGGGATGTAAAATCTATCAACATTTCACAATTTAAGGATGAACTGGTTCATGATCTGCACAATCATGATCTGTCGGATGTTAATGTCTCAGCTAACTTTTTCAATGATTCTATTTTTGAGGTTTTTGAGACACATGCACCGTTAAAGGAAGTTAAAGTTCGAGACAAAAAACACCGAAATTGGTACAACAAAACCGTCCGTCAGGAGAAAAGAACACTTAGAAAGCTTGAACGCTGTTGGCGAGTGACTAGAACTGCTGCTGATCGCGATGAGTATGAACGCCAGTTGCAAGTTTTTGTTAATACTTTAGAAAACTCTAAAACAGAATGTATTAAATCTAAAATCGATTTATGCTCTGGGGATTGCAAGAAACTCTTTAATACTGTAAGATATCTTACCAATAATAAAAAGGCTGCAATACCTACCTGCTCCGATAACTTAGAACTTGCAAACATATTTTCAAAATATTTCATGTCAAAAATTGAAAGTATCCGTTCAAAATTTCCACCTTTAGATATTGATTTAGCACTCTCATATGACGTTAAATGTTCTGTACACTTTAATTCTTTTAAACAGATTACCCTTAAATGTTCATGTTCACTTGATCCTATTCCGACAAATCTTTTAAAGAAATGTTCAGATATAGTTTCACCATATATCATGAAAATTATTAACTCATCTTTATCCAATGGAATTTTTCCTGAATGTTACAAAACGGCCTTGGTGAAACCCTTAATTAAAAAACACAACATTGATATAGAAATCATTGCTAATTACCATCCTATATCCAATTATCATTTATTTCCAAATGTATTGAGAAATGCGTAGCGTCTCAAATATCGAACTATCTCAGCCAGCATAATCTTAAATACATCTATCAATCTGCTTACAAACCGTTCCACTCCACTGAATCTGCCCTTAATTCCATTCTTAATGATATATTCTCCTTTATTGATATGAGTAAATCAGTCGTTTTTGTTCAGTTAGATTTATCTGCCGCTTTTGATACTATTGATCATTCTATTTTCATCCGTAGACTCGCTTTCCAGTTTGGTTTTACCGATGTTGTCCTTCGTTGGTTTTCTTCTTTTCTTTCATCCCGTTTTCAGAAAGTTAGTATTGATGATTCAGTTTCTGAACACGTGCCCCTGTATTATGGTGTGCCGCAAGGGAGTGTGTTTGGATCGCTTTTATTTCTTCTTTATATGTCACCTGTTTCAAATATCATACAATCTCATGGACTTCATTTCCATTTCTATGCTGATGACATTCAAATATTCACTCCTTTTAACCAGTCAAACGCTTCATCTAAAATTGAGAAAGTTCAAAATTGTGTCATTCATATTCATAAATGGATGACCAGCAACATGCTTAAATTGAATCCATCTAAAACAGAATTTATTGTGTTTCATTCAAAATTCCGCCCAGAAACCTCAATTTCAGTCCATATACATTGATGACATTCCCATTAACCCAGTTTCATCTGTTTGAAGTCTTGGCGTTATTCTTGATGAAAGTCTTACGTTTGTTCCACATATATCTGCGCTCTGTAAATCTTCTTTCTTTTTTATGTAATCTTTGGAGAATACGAAAGTTTCTTTCATATAAATTAGCCGAAGTTTTAGTCCATGCCTTCATTTCATCTAAGTTAGATTATTGCAACTCACTTTTTATTGCAATACCCGATACCACAATTCTGCATTTACAAAAAATCCAAAATTCTGCTGCTCGCATTGTTTCACTGATCCCAAGACGTCAACATATAACACCAGCCCTGAAGCATCTTCATTGGCTTCCCATTAAACAACGTTGTATTTTAAAATTGCTTCTTTTGGTATATAAGTTACTTCCGTTTCACAAACCATTATATTTGTTGCATCACTTAAAATGTCATCTTCAAAAAAACTTTTGACAATTCCATCTCCTCGAAACAAAACCAAAACATATGGTCAACATGCTTTTTCTGTTCAAGCTCCTTCTCTGTGGAATTCTCTTCCTTTTTCTGTTCGTAATTCGCCTAATTTATATTCTTTTAAGAAGAACTCAAAGTTTCACCTTTTTGAGAAATGTTACTGAGATTGTTTTCTCCTGCGCCTTTGATAAATTTTTGAATTGGCGCTATATAAATGTTTATTATTATTATTATTATTCAGATGCCAATATGATGATGTCACAATGTCCGATCAGCCATTATGATCTATAAAATCATATTTACAACTTATGTGCTTTCACAATATGTAATAAAAATTGGGGGTCACCTTTCATCCTAAGGAACTATAACTGATTGAAAATATGCCTGATTTTAGCATATTTTCACTGTACATCAGCACAAATCCGCGCAAAGATCCCTATGTTTGATGCACACGTATAACATTGTTATTGGCCATAAGATGACCGAAAAGAATGGAAATTTGTAAAAACAATGTCAGGAACCTAAAATATGTAAAAAAAACGTAATTTCTAGCTTCTGTACATGCTGCGCACTTAAAAGTGCGTGCCCTTAGTGGAAAAATTCAAAAAATTTTGAAATGCTCAAAATGGCCTGAAACGTGCTATAATTCAGTCAAACAGTGATTTCAAGCATTTTGAAATTTTGACGCACGCGTACGCGCGTGTCATGAAGCGCATGCGTAAAATTAAGGTAGAGTACATTCAACATTAACCCGAAGTTAATGCTCACTTAATACGAGTTCGGAAGGGCAATTGGTTAGGACGATATGATCGATAGTGTAAAAACGCAAAATTGCGCGTAGATGACATCACGCATGACTGAGCGCATTGAAAAGCTTATTGTGACTATTCCAGACCAAGTCAAATGTTCGTGAAGTGCGACTGAGCGTAACTCGTGGCATTTATCAAGATTTCTTGCGCACAAAAAAGGAGAGAAAGAAAGAAGAATAAGAAAAAAAAGAAGATGATGATGATCCTGACAATAACAAGAGGTGATCCGCACGAGAAGGAGGATCACCAATAATGTAGGTCTAAAGCGCACAATGTAAAAAAAGCCCATGATATTATTGGGCATTGAAAATACTAAATTTTTACTATAAATGTAAATGCTATATGATAAATAAATGGAATTAATGAACATTGCGAATATGAACAAATAATTACAGGCCTACTAAATCTGACTCTGAACAGGGTAGGGGAAGCAGTTAATCCCTTTGTTGTTGTTTGGAAGTGAATACATCCACCACTCTACTGATTTCGATTTCTGTGTGATGAATGTGCATTATATTAACGCAAGCGCTGCAAGGCGTTGTTGCGTCATACTTGCTCGTACTGAAGGTGTGAAATCTTTGTAAAACGCTTGCACATTCGTGACTTGTAATCAGTGGCGGATCCAGGAATTCGATATGGGGGGTGGGGGCGACAGGGGGACTTTAACAGATGGGAGCAGTGGCATATTCAGAAATTCAAAATAGAGGGGTGCCCAGAGAGGACTTCCACAAAAATAGAGGGTCCACCCACCTCAGCTCAAACATGGGCTAAGGAAAGAAAATTTATGATTATGGCATCTCTGGATAGTCGGAAATAGCACTCTTAGACTTTTTGCTTACAATTACTCTGTGTATTTTTTATCCATTTTCTTTATAACTTTCAAAAATGTTGGGGTCCCCAGGCTTGGAACAGAGCACAAGTAAATAGACAAAATTAATGACAGTCATTCGGATTTGTTGTTGTTGATTCCAATCGCTTAGAAAAGTGGGGTTTTAACTATAGAAGATAGGTTTAAAGTGGGTGGGGAGACAATTGATATGATGTCAAAAAGTGGGGGGGATGTGTACCCCTGTCCCCCACCGATCGATGTTTATGTTCAGATGGCCAGAAATGGCATTCACAGACCTAAAATAATTTTAGTGAAACATATAGAAAAAAGATGAGTTTGTAAGCAGCGAGTCAATGACACACAAGCGGTGGAGAAAGACATTCAAATTCCTCAAAAAGCTTATAAATACAGTTAAAAGTCCTTGCTTGTATGACAAATTAGAGGCAGTCCCAAACCTGCCTACCCTTGGGTCAAGAAAATCTGGAGATTTTTTTAAGAATCTTAAACAAATCTGGAGGTTTCCAGAATTAACCAAAAGATGATGCGAGATACCAAAAAAGTCACTTCACTACAAATCATTGGCCGTTGGTGGCGATATTCGAATTGAAAATGGCTGCTTGTTTATTGCACCTCAAAGCAAGCAGGCAGTGAATACTTTGAATAATAACGAAATCAAATTATGCATAAATCGGAGTATTTTTGGGGAGGGGGATGGGTGACTAGTCATTGGTCCGAAGGTGCATTGGTCCGAAGGTGCATTGGTCCGATGGTCCATTGGTCCGAAGGTCCATTGGTCCGAAGGTCCATTGGTCTGAAGATCCATTGGTCCAAAGGTCCATTGGTCCGAAGGTCTGAATGAGAGTGTCTTTTCCGGTCATCTAGAAGTTCTATATTTTAACCGTGGTGGGGATGAGGTAAAATTGGACTGGTTAAGCCCTCCTCCTCCTCCCAATTTTAGGGAAAAAATGTCGACGCTCTTGTTTTCATTGTGATAAGGTCCAAAATTTTATGATCACGACGCCCCCCCCCCACAAAAAAAAATCCTGGAAACACCCCTGTAGGTGCTATATTTGTTAAACGCCTCTCACTGAAATTCATAGTATTTTGTACAGATTTAATTGACTTAAACAATGCTACATTTTTCATTGCAACTTTTTTGGTGACTGATTATAAATATTGTTATTTAAATATTTATATATTTGGTTGGCGTTTTAATACCCAAATAATCTTTGTCATCGTCGCCAACATCCTCATCATCATTATAATCGTCAAGATCATTCGTCACCTTTGTTAACATTATCAGCAGGAGAGGATCCAGAAAAAAAATGCTAGTAGGGGATAAAGTATCAAAAAGGTTTAAACACTAAAATATCATTATAAGGTCTTTCCATTCTGCATTTAAATTATTCACCTTACAGTATTTCTTAATTGTTTTTGTTTAGCCTTTTCCCAGACATTTTAGGGTCCTTTGTTCTAAGTGCTTTTTTCTTTTTTTTTTTTTTTTTTTTAAACGAAGTATTTATCGTTTGTTTGTTTGTTTGCAAATTTCATCTTGGTAATGTTTAATGTGGTTCCAATAAAGTTGTTGTCATTGAACGTTTTAAATGATCTTGATTTATTAATTTTTTGGTACATTTTTTTTTTATTTTGCGATTTTAATAAATCAATCAATGGTCAGTAAGCCGAAGGCTAATTACACCATAAGTTGATATATTTTGTTTAGTGACAAATATTAGGTCAATAATTGTTTAATAGTTTCTGTTGTAAAAATTTATGAATAAACTTGCATTATATTACCTTGACTGACTATGGTGTTCATCTATTTAGGTTAGTTAAAAATCTAACATAATGGCATCATTATATAATGCGGTAAAATTTTGATACGTTAGGTCAAGTTTTGTTAAATATTCAGCCTTTGCTTTGGGTGGTCTATAAAATTGCCTACAGAGCTATTGAGTGGGGTGAGTTTATTTCTGCCGATAGTGCTTTCCATCTTCGTCAAACATATTCATTTCTTTAATAGATTATCATTTTTAATGTAAAGTAATATACCACCTTGCCTATCAAGTCTACAGATTTCATGAACTTCGATTAACACTTCATTGTTGTCAATATTATCACCAGTAAATTCCGGTTTAGTTTCAGCCAGCCACGATGGTCCTCCGGTGATAATCATTATTGAACCTACACAAATTGTACAAACAAATTTCCACCGATTCCGATATTATGTAAAAAAAAAACCCAGTAGGCCTAATTATAAACAAAATCCTGACGATCCAGAAATTGCGTAAAAAATCCCGCCGATCCTGACTTGAAAAAAATCCCGTAATATTACCAAATCCCGCCGATCCAGTTATTGCGTACAAAATCCTGTAATTTTACAAATGAATTCCCGTCCATCCCGAGGAATCCTAACAAAATTCCGGCGTGATGGGACCATTCTGATGGAATCTCACTGAATCCCGATCGGGATGCAGATTTCATCTTTGATAGGGCCACTGCTGTGGAGTCTCGAGGGCATTACTCAAGCCTAAAATATTGTGCAATATTCCACGTTACATCTCGATGAAACTGGACTTCTTTAATCTTTTGGAGTCGATATTTTAGCTAACCAACCATCGAATTGTACAGTATCTGATTCAATTTTATTATTTTAGTGAAATTTTGATGGCATTTTTTATCGTGTTTGCTGTGTATTTTTAATGTTTGTGATTCTGTTGAATTTCTCGTATGGCCTTTCATTAGAAACAGTGGTACTCATAACCATCATTTGGACATATTTTGATGAAGCCATTTTGGTGAATTACATTTTGGAATAAACTGCTCTTGGAAATTTTACACCGCTACC